GTTGCCATGTTGTGTTGTGACAGGTGGGTTAGATCCTGATTGAGGGTGTGATTGAGGCCAAACCACACCATGGCAAATGGTGTCACAATCACACTGCATTGGCCTGTAGTACAATGCTTTAGTCTATAGCAGTAGCATAAGCTGTCTATTAACAGCCTCCCACCATGAACATATAGTTATCAACTCTACTCTGTGTGGAAGGAACCATAGCTATATGTCACAGAAAAACATGCACAGTATTATGTTTGTGCGTGTTGGAGGATTGAATACAGTAACAATGGGCTGGGGAGCCCGGGGGGGCAATATACCACCACCAGAGATCAACAATGGGTCTAAATATGAGGCTATAAATCCTAGGGTGGGTTGGACTATTTCTGAGAGAGTATATGGTCTCCCTGCCTTGCGACCATCTCTCTTGAGAGCACCAGTCATAAATCAAACTATCCCGTCTTTGTTATCTCCCAATTATGGGTCTGGAGTGTCTGGAGTAGGCTCCTCTCTGCATTAGGGATGTGATAGGCTTGGTGAATAGAAGGCAGAGGAAGGAGGACCCTCTCATACAGTACCTAGTGAGTCGGAGAAGCTTTGATAGCGACTGTGTCCCAAATGGCACCCTATTCCCTATGTGGTGCATTATTTTTTACCAGAGCCCTAAGGGCCCTGATCAAAAGATGTGCACTATATAGGGAATAGGGTGCCATTTGGGACGCACATTAAGATAACGTACGGGGAGGAATATGATTGAAGGCTGAATTTAAACGGCCTATGCTTCCAGGCCTTTGCATGGTATTGGATCACATAATGGACTGAAGGAAAGGAGTGTATAGGGATGTGTGATGCTGAGTACTGGTAGATGATGGAGTTAAGAGGGGTTACTATTTCATTAGTACAGTGTTTGAGATTGTGGACATGTGCTGGTGGGACTATGGCTTTTGAGGAAATGTACCCTCATAATACTATTCTTTCTCATAATACTATTCTTTCTCCTTGATCATTCTTATCTTTTATTTATTTCAATATTTTATTTTCTCCATCTGTACATACAGTACACAGTCAGGTCCATAAATATTTGGACATTGACCAAGTTATTATTTTAGCTGTCTACCACAGCATATTGGAGTTTAAATTAAATTAAAAAAGTACAGACTTTCAGCTTTAATTTGAGGGTATTTACATCCAAATCAGGTGAACGGTGTAGGAATTACAGCACTTTTTATATGTGGTCCCCCCCTTTTTAAGGGACCAAAAGTAATTGGACAATTGGCTGCTCAGCTGTTCCATGGGCAGGTGTGTTATTCCCTCATTAGTTCATTTACAAGTAAGCAGATAAAAGGTCTAGAGTTGATTTTATGTGTGGCAAATCAACTATTTGGTACACTCTTAAAAAGAAAGAACGCACTGGTGAGCTCAGGATCACCAAAAGGCCCAGAAGACCACGGAAAACAACTGTGGTGGATGACAGAATAATTATTTCCCTGGTGAAGAAAAACCCCTTCACAACAGTTGGCCAGATCAAGAACACCCTCCAGGAGGTAGGCGTATCTGTGTCAAAGTCAACAATCAAGAGAAGACTTCACCAGAGTAAACATAGAGGGTTATCACAAGATGTAAACCATTGGTAAGCCTCAAAAACAGGAAGACCTGATTAGAGTTTGCCAACAAACATCTAAAAAAGCCTGTACAGTTCTGGAACAACATCCTATGGACAGATGAGACAAAGATCAACTTGTACCAGAATGATGGGAAGAGAAGAGTATGGAGAAGGGAAGGAACTGCTCATGATCCGAAGCATACCACCTCATCTGTGAAGCATGGTGGAGGTAGTGTTATGGCGTGGGCATGTATGGCATCAGGATGAATTCTGAAGTGTTTAGGGCTATATTATCTGCTCAGATTCAGCCAAATGCTTAAAAACTCATTGGACGGCGCTTCACAGTGCAGATGGACAATGACCCGAAGCATACTGCGAAAGCAACCCAATACTTTTTTAAGGCAAAGAAGTGGAATGTTCTGCAATGGCCAAGTCAATCACTTGACCTGAATCCAATTGAACATGCATTTCACTTGCTGAAGGCAAAACTGAAGGCAAAACACCCCAAGAGCAAGCAGGAACTGAAGACAGCTGCAGTAAAGGCCTGGCATCACCAGGGAAGTATCACCAGGGAAGAAACCCAGCATCTGGTGATGTCTATGGGTTCCAGACTTCAGGCAGTCATTGACTGCAAAGGATTTGCAACCAAGTAATAAAACTCACAATTTAATTTATGATAATGTTAGTTTGTCCAATTACTTTTAAGCCCCTAAAATTGGGGGGCTATGTATACAAATGGTTGTAATTCCTACACGGTTCATACAATCATTTTGACAAAACCCTTAAATTAGAGATGAAAGTCTACACTTAAAGCACATCTTGATTGTTTCCTTTCAAATCCATTGTGGTGGCGTACAGAGCCAAAATGATGCATATTGTGTCACTGTCCAAATACTTATGGACCTGACAGTATGTAGTAGTTTTCCCACCTCTCCCTGTCTCAGTCGCCCATCTCTTCACTCCCCGCGTTTGGAAAATGGAAACTTGGTTTCCATAGTTACCGAGGCAGCACCATGGTGATACGATAGCTACAACACCTGGGTCACATGGGTGGCATTGAGAATCAGTGTGAATTTGTGTGTGTGTGTGTGTGTATGACTGATTGTGTGGGTTGGTGGTGTGTTTCCAAAGCGTAGATAAGCCAGGCACCCCAGCTTCTTTCCTGTGTGTGGGTTGTCCGACCTAAGGTTAGGAACATCTAAAGGTGTAGCAGCTCAGTGAGACTAAGAATAAAGCTAAGAATCTGACTAATACTAAGAATAAGGACAGAATAAATAGCCTTTCTTAGTCAATAGTCGTAACTGACTTGTAGAACAAATTCACTAGGAATTAAGATACTATTTGGAACAACTACAAATATCCTAATAGTCCAAATGACTGTAGGAGTTCAGTCTGTCTTTTCAGCTCCTTTGACATGCTCTCTCTTTCTTCTCTCTCTTTCTCTCTCTCCCCAACACTCCTCCATACACACAGAGTTTTTAATCTACACTCTTAGAAGAATAGTTTTAAAAGGGTTATTCCGGCCTCCCGAGTGGCGCAGCGGTCTAAGGCGTCACTACAGACCCGGGTTCGATCCCAGGCTGTGTCACAGCCGGCCGTGACCGGGAGACCCATGAGGCGGCGCACAATTGGCCCAGCGTTGTCCGGGTTAGGGGAGGGTTTGGCCGGCCGGGATTTCCTTGTCCCGTCGCACTCTAGCGACTCCTTGTGGCGGGCCGGGTGCCTGCAAGCTGACTTTGATCGCCAGCTGGACGATGTTTCCTCTGACACATTGGTGCGGCTGGCTTCCGGGTTAAGTGAGCAGTGTGTCAAGAAGCAGTGCGGCTTGGCAGGGTTGTGTTTCGGAGGACGTATGGCTCTCAACCTTCGCCTCTTCCGAGTCCGTAGGGGAGTTGCAGCGACAGGACAAGACTGTAACTACCAATTGGATATCACAAAAAAGGGGTAAAAGTACAAAATAAATAAAGGGTTCTTCGGCTGTCCCCATAGGAGAACACTTTTGGGTTCCATGTAGAACCCTCTGTGGAAAGAGTTCTACATGGAACCCAAAGGGGTTCTACCTGGAACCAAATAGGGTTCTTCAAAGGGTTCTCCTATGGGGACAGCCGAAGAACCCTTTTAGGTTCTAGATAGCACCTTTTTTCCTAAGTTTGTTTCATTCTCTTTTGTCTCTTTCATATCAGTCCTTTCTTCCTTCCCGCTAACCACTGGGTAGCCTTTGAAAGAACACACTATGATAAAATATCTTATTATTCTTCTCATGTAAAACAACGGCTTTGCTAGCTAGCGCTTTGGTGCTACCGCCTGCCTGCCTTTGTGCTAGCTAATGCGCTATTCACCAGTGGTGAGCGTATAACCCCCTCCCCCCCGTTGGGGCCGGTATTGATGTGTTCACAATAGCCATGTTTAACTGTGTCAATAAGACAAGGTGGGAAAGGAGCAGAGGGAAATTAATTAGCTCCCGCAGGTCTCCTCTACGTCTCTCGCTCTCATAGATAATGTAATAGTGTGACATGGTTCTCCCCCAGGTAGCTTCTAATAGCTAGTTGCTACATTGCCTTCCTATGAGTCCTGGTCGTTTTTGAACATATTAAAACATCAGAGGCTTTTTGATTATTTGTCTGTCATCCATCTCTCTATCTGTATCTTTATCTCTCTGCTGACCTCTCAGATGTGGCTGAGCATCACCTCAGAATCAACACAATAACTGCTGCGTGTTTCTGTTGTGTTCTCCATGGAAATAGAGACACCTTGTCAGGATGCCTTCTTGCATTCGATGTGTGTGTAGCAGGCTCGGTCATGCTGGCGCAATTAGAGCAAGTTTCTCGACAGACAAGAGGTGCCACTAGTCCTCAACCTGTCTGCCACACACACACACAGACAGACAGACGCACAGGCATGCACACAGACTCGACACAGACACGCATACAGACACACGCGAACACACACAGCATAATGAGGTTAATAAAGCAATCTAGTTCAACCAGGCAAGTGACAAACACAGTGCAGGCAGTTGATTAAGGTGTGATGGGCTTTAATGAATGCAAGACAAGGTTGTAAGGTTCCTCCCTGACTCATAAACATCCTATTGCAGCTCCTGGGCCTCAGTGTTTGTGTCTCAATATGCTAAGCAGGGAACCTCAGGAGAAATGGTAGACAGACCTGAACACACACACACTCAGACACACACACTCAGACATGCATACTTGCACGCACGCACACAGACATATTCTTTCTAATAATTCTCCCTCGCTCTCGCTGTCTCTCACACTCTCTCTCTCTTTCTGTCTTTCTCCCTCTCTGTCCCTCCCTCTCTGTAGGTGTCCTAGTGATCCTGGCTGTGCCAGTGGGCCTGGTGTCTTCTACCCAGGAGCTGTACCCCAGCCGGACCCCCCAGGACCCTGTCTCCATGGCAGCGCCCCACAGCAGCCCCCCTAACCCGCTCTCGGCCCTGGCCCCTCCAGACTGGCAGCAGGAGGGCTCCAGCAGCGGGGACTCTTGGTCCCCCCAGGGAGGGGCACTGCCCACGGGCATCATCCAGCCCACCGCATCCTACAGCTCTTGGGGCTGGCATCTAAACCACAACACCAGCCTGGCACACACTGTGACACCACCCAGTAAAAAGAGCCTCATTCATGCTGCAGCTACTGTCAGTCCTAACACTGTGAACTCTGTGAGAGTAAACCAAGACCCTGCAATTAGCTCTGCCAGCCCCAGCCCAGTCAAGCAGGCCCACTCCCACAGCTCTAGTGCGCTTAACCCGGGCCACAGCTCCAGTTCTCTCAGTGCAGACCAGGGTCTCATGCCCAACTCGGTCAGTGTAAATCAAGCCCATAGTTCAGATATTGTCAGTGTTAACCAGGGCAACAGCCCTCCTAGCCCTCCCAACTCTGGTGTCCCGCATAGTGAGGTGGCTCCGACTGCAGTGGAAGGGGCTCCAGACTCAGGGTCTGCCCTAGCTCCTCCTGTGCCCAGCCCACTCACAGAGAGAGTGGATACTCTGGGCCCGGAGCTTGGTGGTCTCCCGGCCCCTACATACACGCAGGACCCCCAGGAGGGGAATGTCGAGAAAACCACAGACCCTAGTCAGCAGGACTTCACCACTGAGCTGCAGCCTTCTTCCTTCTCCTCCTCCTCCTCTTCCTCAGTGGATGCTGCTCTAGATCAGACCCTCAGGGAGCATGGTGAAGCCACGCCTGAGCTGTCCCCACCCCACGCCATCACCCTACGGGAGGTGCATCCCATGGTCATCGAAGTGCCCACCATGGGGCTCAAAACCGAGGTGGGGCCTGCCTCTCCAGGAAAGAGCCCACCAGACAAGCCCCCCTCCCCGGCCCCCACCTCTCCATCTCCCTCCTCCCTGACCCGTGCCAGTCTGGCCCCAAATTCCAGCCCTGTCTCCATCAATGCTACCACAACCAATGACACCACAGCCCAGGAGACTGGCAGCGGCGGGGGCCTCCCTCTCCCCCCTCAGGGTACAACAACAGACGATGCCCCACCTTGGCCCACAAAGCCCATTTGGCAATGCCACTTTTCATAACGGCAGTGTGGAGGGCAGCCCTAGCAAGGACCCCTCCTCCCAGTGGAACAACTCGCCCCCTACGGAACCCCCCTCCACGGCCAATGGGAACTTTCTGAACCGCCTGGTCCCCGCCACCACCAGGGACCCCTGGGGTCCAGGCAACGGCTCTGGCCCCGCTCTGGACTCACCGCTGTCCCGCGCCACCATCTGCCTGAGCAAGATGGACATCATGTGGATCGTGTTGGCTATCAGTGTGCCTGTGACCTCATGCTGTGAGTATCAAATAGCAACCTGATGAAGGCTCTGATGACAAGAGGTTAGAGAAATTGTGTTTGAGTCAGTAGGAGGCTAACCAACACTTTTAGGCGGCTGAGATCACTTTCATACCAACCACCGTATCCACTGAAACACTGTGATACATAATGAAAGACCTGGATTTATGTATTAGAGGTTGTATCATTTTAGAGGCTGTACTGACTTTGCCCCCCCCCCCCCCCCCCCCCCCCCCCCCCCCCCCCTCTCTCTCTCTCTCCCTTCCCCCTCTCCCTCCCACCCTCTCCCCCTCCAGCTGTCCTGCTGACTGTGTGCTGTATGAGAAGGAAGAAGAAGTCTTCAAGCCAGGAGAACAACCTGAGCTACTGGAACAATGCCATCACCATGGACTACTTCAACAGGCACGCTGTGGAGCTGCCTCGGGAGATCACGTCCCTAGACAACGCTGAGGTACATCTATTCCTGATGAGACTGACAATCTTATTATAAGCCCAAAGAGGAATTCCTGTAGGAAATTAGAAATGTGTGTGGAAGGGCCTGTATATAATATTATTACTAAGTTACAGCCCCCAGTTAGGCTCCTCAACTAGATGTTCTTCAGAATTCACTAATGATACAAAACATGTAAATCAGTGAGCAGTGTTGTTGCCAAGTAGCTGGAGTACTTTAGTACATGTGAGGTCAACATGTTGGTTACATTGGACTATATTTGTGGACTATAGTGCCCTCTGCTGTAAGATTAATGGTACAGCCAAAACTTCAACTAATCATTTTGGCGTAATTTTAGACCGAGCTTATCCTTTGTGTAGTTCAGGGATGGGCAACTGGCGGCCTGCAGGCCCATGGATCAAATATTTTTTGGGGGAACTCAGTTGGGGTCTCAACTGAGAGTTAGAATAGTAGAATGCACAAGGTGCAATTAAAATATTTGGTTGTGCATTAGCAGTTCTTCTCTTGCTATGTCGGTCACTGACAGTCACTCAATGAGCCCATGTCAGCAAAAATGGTGGGGGGTAAGTTAGTCTAGCGACCAGCTATCTAAATTTGTAGTAATCATGGTCGAATTACCGACCGGGGGGTCCCTATTGATTTTGTTAGTCACTCTCACGCAGATATATTAAAAACATTTCTCTCCGCCGCATGGTAAAATGTGTAGAATTGCAGCAAACTTGCTTTAAAACTGCAAAATGTTCTCTATGCCCCATTGCAAAATTGTTAGAATTGCAGGAAATTAACTCTAAAATCTTTTGCGAGAGAGGTGGGTGGTGCTTAGGGCCCACAGAACACTGTACAGTGGGGGGAAAAAGTATTTAGTCAGCCACCAATTGTGCAAGTTCTCCCACTTAAAAAGATGAGAGAGGCCTGTAATTTTCATCATAGGTACACGTCAACTATGACAGACAAATTGAGAAGAAAAAAAATCCAGAAAATCACATTGTAGGATTTTTTATGAATTTATTTGCAAATTATGGTGGAAAATAAGTATTTGGTCACCTACAAACAAGCAAGATTTCTGGCTCTCACAGACCTGTAACTTCTTCTTTAAGAAGCTCCTCTGTCCTCCACTCGTTACCTGTATTAATGGCACCTGTTTGAACTTGTTATCAGTATAAAAGACACCTGTCCACAACCTCAAACAGTCACACTCCAAACTCCACTATGGCCAAGACCAAAGAGCTGTCAAAGGACACCAGAAACAAAATTGTAGACCTGCACCAGGCTGGGAAGACTGAATCTGCAATAGGTAAGCAGCTTGGTTTGAAGAAATCAACTGTGGGAGCAATTATTAGGAAATGGAATACATACAAGACCACTGATAATCTCCCTCGATCTGGGGCTCCACGCAAGATCTCACCCCGTGGGGTCAAAATGATCACAAGAACGGTGAGCAAAAATCCCAGAACCACACGGGGGGACCTAGTGAATGACCTGCAGAGAGCTGGGACCAAAGTAACAAAGCCTACCATCAGTAACACACTACGCCGCCAGGGACTCAAATCCTGCAGTGCCAGACGTGTCCCCCTGCTTAAGCCAGTACATGTCCAGGCCCGTCTGAAGTTTGCTAGAGTGCATTTGGATGATCCAGAAGAGGATTGGGAGAATGTCATATGGTCAGATGAAACCAAAATAGAACTTTTTGGTAAAAACTCAACTCGTCGTGTTTGGAGGACAAAGAATGCTGAGTTGCATCCAAAGAACACCATACCTACTGTGAAGCATGGGGGTGGAAACATCATGCTTTGGGGCTGTTTTTTCTGCAAAGGGACCAGGACGACTGATCCGTGTAAAGGAAAGAATGAATGGGGCCATGTATCGTGAGATTTTGAGTGAAAACCTCCTTCCATCAGCAAGGGCATTGAAGATGAAACGTGGCTGGGTCTTTCAGCATGACAATGATCCCAAACACACCGCCCGGGCAACGAAGGAGTGGCTTCGTAAGAAGCAATTCAAGGTCCTGGAGTGGCCTAGCAAGTCTCCAGATCTCAACCCCATAGAAAATCTTTGGAGGGAGTTGAAAGTCCGTGTTGCCCAGCGACAGCCCCAAAACATCACTGCTCTAGAGGAGATCTGCATGGAGGAATGGGCCAAAATACCAGCAACAGTGTGTGAAAACCTTGTGAAGACTTACAGAAAACGTTTCACCTGTGTCATTGCCAACAAAGGGTATATAACAAAGTATTGAGAAACTTTTGTTATTGACCAAATACTTATTTTCCACCATAATTTGCAAATAAATTCATACAAAATCCTACAATGTGATTTTCTGGATTTATTTTCTCATTTTGTCTGTCATAGTTGACGTGTACCTATGATGAAAATTACAGGCCTCTGTCATCTTTTTAAGTGGGAGAACTTGCACAATTGGTGGCTGACTAAATACTTTTTTCCCCCACTGTATGTGTGGGTATGGATGTGGGTTGCAGACCCGCAAGTCACTGCGGCCCCTCGTGATGATTTTTTGTGGCCCCCATCAAAGTTGCCCATCCCTGGTGTAGTCCATCGCATTTCAATTCGCTCTACTGACATATTTTTGTTGCTATGAAATCAGCATGTCTCATCGGCTCTCCACATCATTTCTCATCTGCATACTGACCACACCTCTATTTCTGATTTGTCCTCTCTTTTTGCTCACTCCATCGCTCTCTCTCTCCATCAATCCCTCCTCTGGTGGTGCAGGAGGGGGATGCCGAGATTGGAACATGTTTAGGATGTTCGTGGTGACACACAGGTGTTGTGTTGCGTCTCTATTTTATTCATCCCACTCTAGCGCTGCCTCATCCCTCCCTCCCTCCATCTTTCTCTTTCCTTATAATTCCCCTAAAGTGCCTCTAGCTTTGCTGATGCTGTTACAATAGAGATGAATCGTGAAATGATTTATCTATATGGCTGTTACAGTCAATATCTATCGCTTATTTTTGCTGAATAGCCTTTTTCCAGTGCAACCTAGTGTATCTTCCATACAATAGTTCAAGTACTATATACAGTGTTGTGTTTATGTTAGGGTTTGGGATATTGCCAGCTAGAATGTACCTCTTCCCGTCCCCTCTCTTTCTGTAGGGCTCGTTCTTCTGAATCACTCTGGTTTTTTCTGCTTTTTCTCCCCCTCCCCCACCCCCTGTTCTGTCTTTTAGCTGAGTCACTGCCACCATTTCTCTCTCTCTCCCCTCCCTCTCTTAACTCTCCTCTGTCTCTCTCCCCCTTTCCTCTCTCACCCTCTCCCTCCCTCTCCTAACTCTCCTCTGTCTCTCTCCCCATCTCCTCTCTCACCCTCTCCCTCTCCCTCCCTCTCCTAACTCTCCTCTGTCGCTCTCCCCCCCCCCCCCTCTCCTCTCCTCTCTCTCTCTCTCTCTCTCTCTCTCTCTCTCTCTCTCCTCTCTCTCTCTCTCTCTCTCTCCCTCTGCTGTGTTGCTGTATTCTGCTGAGTCACCCCTCCCCTTCCCTTCTTTACTTATTTTCTCAGTTGTGGAGCCTGTTCAACTCCTCTCCCTCTTCCCTCTATTTTTCTCTCTCTGTGTTCTTTCTGCTAGCTTAATCAGTCAGCCATCTTTTGTCCTCATCTTTCTACTACATAGCCCAGAGAATTGTTTGTGTCTCCTAAACACTCTGTCCTGAATCTCACTAGCTGTTGTGTGTGTGCGTGCGTGCGTGCGTGTGTGTGTGTGTGTGTTTGTGTGTGTGTTTCAGGAGCAGGAGACGTGCCTACCCCCTAATGGAGACTACAGCGACAGCGGGGTGGTGCTGGTTAACCCTTTCTGCCAGGAGACCCTGTTCATCAACAGAGAGAAGGCCTGCGACATCTAAAGCGGACAAATGCTGGTCTGATGGCCATGTCCTGATACCACCAGTACAAGACTGTCAAAGATAAAAGTCAGACTTTCAAAATAAATGTCCCCCGCCATGGCTTTCTCCCTTTTCTCCCTGTCGTTGTCATTTTTATACATGTGGTTAACTTCAAAGACTCCCACTTTATACTGTATATTATGAATACATAAACGAGACTAAGAGAAGAGTTAAAAACAGACACTATTTACTATGAGGGTGTGCCCGCATATTTTTCTGATGTACATTTTCTACAAAAGCTTAATTGTGATAATGGTTTTTATGTCTTTATAATCTACGGAGTATGTGTGATTTGCGTTTTGTTACAGTTGCTTTATGGACGTGGCCACTTGAATTCTGCTTTAGAGAAGATATATTCTGTAAGAACGTTATGTTTCATTTTCTTAAAAATCAAACCCAAAATACTTACTGAAAAGCCTGTTGAACTTGAATTCTGTACCTACGTACTTGAGGGGATATGGAGGTTTAGGGCAAGGTTTGTGAGGCCAGGTTTTAGTAGAGAGTGCCCAAAGGGTATAGTGTTGTGAATAGACCAAATGGACTTTCCCCCTCGCGTGTCACCAGCCTCTCTGTAGAGGGACCACGAACATGTCTTAACTCCCTTTGTCAAGCTGTGTGTGTGTGTGTGTGTGTGTGTTTGGGTGTGACTGTGACTGTGTGACGTGTGTGTGGCCATGTATGGAGTGTGTGTGTGCCTGTCTGTCTGTCTGTGTGTCTCTCTCTGTCTGTTTGTCTGTATGGATTTGTGTTATGGAGTGGGTTCTGGTTTTGGCACTCAATGAGGTTTGTTTAACGTTAGCCCTCTCTAACCTTAATATTTTGAGACCAAACATATCATAATCTCCCTCCATAAGTACAGTATTTGTCCATGAGAGTAAATTGTGTTTATTACTGTAATGTACAGATATTGAATGATATTTGATTTAATTGCTGGATGTAAAAATTAAAAAATGCCGTAGAAATCATGACCAATGAAAATACTGAGATAAAATTTTATCCTGAATATTTACTGTGAGCACATACAGTGGCAGAGTTGAATCAAACATACATATTTTGTTTCATTATCAAATCAATTTCAGTGTATCATGCTTTACTTTTGCTAGTTGCTAAATGCTGCCTCTGTTACTGCCTCTGCTTGTCACATTGTGAAACGCTGATCTTTTAAATCATACTACCCTATGTTTGAAGATTTTGTTGAATTATCATTTTGTTGAATATGTTATCAATCTACTGGATGTACACTGAGTATACCAAACATTAGGAACACCTTCCTAATATTGAGTTGCCCCCCCCCCCCCTTTGCCCTCAGAACAGCCTCAATTCGTCGGGGCATGGACTCTACAAGGTGTCGAAAGTGTTCCACAGGGATGCTGGCCCATGTTGATTCCAATGCTTCCCACAGTTGTGTCAAGTTGGCTGGATGTTGTCTGGGTGGTGGACCATTCTTGATACACACGGGAAACTGTTGAGCGTGGATAAACCCACCAGCGTTGCAGTTCTTGACACAAACCGGTGTGCCTGGCCCCTACTACCAAACCCTGTTCAAAGGCACTTACATTTTTTGTCCTGCCCATTCACCCTCTGAATGACACACATACACAATCCATGTCTCAATTGTCTCAAGGCTTGAAAATCATTATTTAACCTGTCTCTTCCCCTTCATCTACACTGATTTAAGTAGATTTAACAAGTGACATCAATAAGGGATCATAGCTTTCACCTGGATACACCTGGCCAGTCTATGTTATGGAAAGAGCAGGTGTTCTTAATGTTTTGTATACTCAGTGTTGCTGCAACGGGCATGTGGTGCCATACCAGAGAATGGGTATTTTGCTAAATGTAGAATGGAGAGGAGAGGCAGTATCTTGTGTCCAATGTCATGTATTTTTTGTATTGTAACATACACTGTAATTTTTACTGCTGAGCAATAAAAGAGAAAAGCTTTGAACATGTCTTACTGACCATTAATCTATTTTACTTATTTCACTCATCCATGAAGACTGTGATGACAACTGTTATAGTTGCATATTAACTGCATAGTACTCCTGAGAAATTGTGCCACTCCCAATTTGTATTTTATTTGATCAACCTTCTACGCTACACAAGGCTATCTTAATTTTAATTGTCCATGAACTAAAAAATGGGAGAAGAATCATTACCACTTGCTGCAGACAGATGGGTAACAAGACAGATGTACATTAAACCTGTGGGACAAAGCAATGTGTCAGTGCCTTGCTGACCCCAGCTAAACCATTGACTAGAATGTTCTCTGTTCATCTCTGCTGGATCTGGCTAGTGGCCATTATATACATGGCCTCACTGTCATTGGATAAAGCCTACACTTTGCTAATGCTTATCTAGAGAGCTTCACTACTTGGGGTGCATTGATGAGCTACCGCTTTCTTCTATCACTAATAAATATCGTAATATTCAATGTCATTTGTTGTCATTGTTTGACTATTATGTAAGAAGTTTCAACTACCCTATGATGTGAGGGCCCCATGTAGGCCCTTTACACAAAATATACTGGTGGGCCCCAGCCCAATAGTAGGCCTAATACAGGAAAGCTGCTCTATGGGCAGCCCAGTCCCATGCTAAGCCCATAGTTTCACACGGTGGCATCCCGCCTGTGGAAAGCACACAATATATTTCTAAGTGAAGACAATCATTGAACGGAGAGCAGGAATAAGTACGTTTTCATCGAAGGTCGCATCCAGGGTACCACAATGCTTGTACTGTAAAGACTTGGAATGCTGGCTTTGAGAAAACAAGTAAACTTATTAATAAAATAAAGATTTGTTTAAGTGCTGCTCTCTGGTTCCATTATCAACTGGTCAATGATCAATACAATCAATTGATCAGAGAGGACCACACTACTACAGTGGACCTCATGGTGTGGTATCAGATTACTACCAGGCTACTGTGATAGGATGATTAAAAAAAGACATGCAATTTCATTGGTTAAAGTTTTTTTTATTTGCAGTTAATTGGTTCTTCAGCATGTCCATTATATTTATGTTCATGTTCATCCGGGGCATCTTGAAAAGTATGCATTGGCTGTACATCCGGTTAGCCTGTCAAATAGCAGTGAGCGAGCGCAGCCTCAAAGATTGGTAATGTGGCACATTGAAAGACAGGCGGTCAGACAGTAGCTACATTTTCTTTTTCACGCTAGAAGGGAAATTGTTTGATTGCTCTGGTCGAATAAGAATTTAATCCCTCCCCTTCAACTGATTTATAGAGACGTTGTGAAATTTACGTTTGTCCTTGCATAGCGTTTGTTTCTGAAAGAAAATGGCGGATGTCGAGACTGGTGGTGCTGCGCCGGAGAAGAGCCTGGATGATTTCTTTGCCAAGAGGGATAAAAAGAAGAAGAAAGAAAAGGGAGGCAAGGGAAAGGAAGCCCCAGCTGGGCCCACACCAATTGTCTTGAAAAAGAACAAGAAGGAAAAGGAGAAGTCGGGCACGAAAAACGAAAATCAAGATGCGCAGCCGGAGAAGGTAACGTTAGCTAGCGTCGCGCTAGTACTAGTTAGCCAGCAAGCTACTTGCTACTACTAGCCAAGTCAATCTGTTGCTAGCTAGTTTGCCTCATAACGGTGATGACTCATGGCTGTTTGGTAATTCACAATGGCTGGCTAGTTATTACACCGGCCTCACACACGACTTATGGAGCGATATGTACGTTTTAGTTAGCTACCTAGCCAACTAGTTCGCTACTTAAAACAGCAATCCAATAATTGAGTTCGCAAGCTAACGTTAGCTAGTTAGACTGCACACTCACGATGTATTCCAGACGGTGAGCAGTCGTTTCTCGATTACTTTAGGCCGCGCCACTGTCAGCTTTCTCGATTGATCAACGATAGTTAACGTTAGTGTGGCTAGCATGTTTTCGACAAGTGAAAACTGTAACATGCCTCGTGACGAATTTGAATATTATTGGTAAATACAGCCAGCATTGTAGTAACATGCGTCATGACGAATGTAAATACAACTAACTTGCTAACTGATTAATTTAGTCCCATCTGTCAATTTGGAAGACGAATAATGTACTAGCTATTTGGCCTCATTCACTAGATGCTTAGGCCTACAATATTCGTCTGAGGGTTCAGATGGTTGGTCCTGGGAAATGGAGACTGGACTCCAGCTGTTAAACGTAGAACCATTTGTGTAGACAAATGATGCACAGAAAGAGTAGAACCTACTGGTGATAACGTTACTAGTAGCTAGCATTTTAAGCAGATAACGTGGTTCTCTGAGGTTATGACACATTTTCCAGGGGTGTTGTGATGCTTTGAGACTATCTCAAGTTAGGGCGTGGCCTGTATCCAGATCCTAGTTTCTATTTTATTTGTACCCTTGACAAACTTTTCTTTTGATGGCCAAGTTTGCATGATCAATTGAGATTGATATGATGACGACACAAATGTATGAAGCCTTGGGGTGCGTTCGAAAATTCATTCTGGCCATCTACTCCGATTTCAGAGCTATCTCGTCGGAGCGCAGAATAACTGATTAATTTAAGAAGGCTCAACACCCATTGAATATGGCCGGTGTCGGCAAAAAAAAAAAAAGTTAAATTGTTGCCAGCAGCACAGTTAGTCACCAACGCTCTGGATAACGTGAAAACAGCCTAACCAGCTCTGCAAGTTCGAGTAAAATGGTCAGAGTGAAGTGTTCTCTCATTTGTGTCTGGAAGTAGCTAGTCAACGTTAGTCAGTTAGCATGGGTGCTTGACTGCCGTTGTGAGGTCATAACGCTCGGATCAACCCTACTCCTCAGCCAGAGCGTCCAGTGTGCGCTCTGAATGCTCTGAGAATTTACAAACGGACAATCTGACAATGCTCTGAATTTACGAACGCCCTGAGCGCACTCTGGCACTCCAGATTGAATTTACGAACACACCTTTGGATTGCTAAACCATCAGTCAGTGGGTTGTGGAACTGATGAGCTGTGCTCTGTCTGCAGGAGGACGAGGAGTGGAAGGAGTTTGAGGCGAAGGAGGTGGACTACAGCGGACTCAGACTGCAGGCTCTGCAGATAAGGCAAGGCTGAACATTAGGGGGGGGGGAACAGGGTCGCATTCATTCAGTGGGCAGAAAACAGTAGCCTAATGACATGTTAAACATCTGTACTAGTTGCACATTTTTGTTGACTGTGTTATCTCTGGCGGTTGTGGCAGTGATGAGAAGGAGGAAGAGGAGTATGAGGAGGAGGTCGGTGAAGATGGAGAGATCATCCTGGTCAGTGGAGACAAAATGTCTGGGCCCTGGAACAAGTCTGGTGCCCAGCCCCCTGCCGCTGCCCCTGTTGGTGGGTATACCTTTCTCCGCTCTACGTATCAATTCCACACTCTTAATTGTAGTATTAAAAAGTGTTACTCCCATATAGACCCTATAGTTTTGGCAATTCATGTGGATAAATAATGAGCCTTGCCCCTGTTTTTACTGACTGGTTCTCTGCTCTCGTCTCTACAGAGGTGGAAGAGGTGCCTGAGTCCAAGCCTTCTGGGGTGTACCGCCCCCCAGGGGCCCGACTGACCACCACCAAGCGTGGCCCCAACCAGGGGCCCCCTGAGATCTTCAGCGACACACAGTTCCCCTCACTCGGGGCTGGCTCCAAGCATGTTGAGACACGCAGGTCAGTGCACCTCTAAATATCACTCATCTTACAAACATGCGTAGGTGGGCACACATACAAAGTGTAGAAACGTCTTAAAGTTTGTTTAATTAATATATCCAATGCTTGGGTTTCAGGGACAGGGAGATGGAGAAGACCTTTGAGGTGGTGAAGCACAAGAACCGTGGCCGAGAGGAAGGAGGCAGTGGGGCTTCCCTGCAGCAGTTGGAGCTTGGTAACCAGTATGCCATCTTGGGGGACAAGTAGCACACCCCAACCCCCCTCCCCTCCCCCCGCCCATCCAACGTGGTCTTGCCCAGCCGCCAGAGGGAGCTGAACTACAGCTGTGTGTACCTAACTACAGCGCAGTCCTGAAAATGAATGCTGGCGCTGCTGCCACCACCACACTGGACCTTCTCTCCCTCACACCCAGTACAATACATACAAACACACTCCCATACACCTCACACAGTGAACCATATACACTGACACACACTTTACATCTACATGCATTATATGCAGTACGTACACAAAGCACTTGGTTGGCAAAACTGAAGGACTACATCCAAAAGGGCTGTGGCAAGTGATTAACTGAAACAAAAAAAAATCTAATCTATATGATACACCCATATGAACGACACTGCAGCATCAACAATAGCAAACGGCAACGTACGGTTGTTTTTTTGGATTGTTTTAAGAGCAGCAGTTGTATGGTGCAACTTCTCTGGACTTCAACTTGCTTTGATGATAAAGCCACAGAGGATCGAAGACACAAAATTGTGCGAGTTGAATTTACGAACTGTTGAGAATAGATATATTTTTTGCGAGATCGTTATAACCCGAACTGCACATGGTTGGGGTGTGTTTGAGTTATGATTAGGGCACGTGAGGGGAGACTACCTCAGTCGCATAGCTGTGGTGACCATGTTGAGCGGGCTTTGGCTCTTGGTGGTGAGTGGGGCAAACACCAGCCCTGCAGAAGAGAAGACCACCAGGCTCTTTCACTTAGAAACTTGAAGATTTGTTTTCCTCAAGAATGGGACTCCTGCAAAGATCTGTGGACACAGGAGAGAAGTTATGGTCCTCATTTAGAATGACTATTTAAAAGTGGCCTTACTGTAAAGAGCAAGAGAGGGAAACTGCTTCGTCCTCTGAAGAGAAACTTGCTCGTTGTCTCATGGGCTGTTGCCTGCCTCCTGGATCTCGCCACTTAAAGAGCAACCAACCTCCTTCCCTGTTCAAGAATGTAGTGCTGAGTTGTAGTTTGTCAGAAGATTATACTGACTAACTGTCCTTCATATCCACCGTTTGACTTGCTCCCATTTATTTTTTTAAATTTGATTATTAACATTGGCAAACCATTATTAAAGCTCCTCCTTTCTAATCTGAAGTCATTCCTTTGGTAGATGTTTTGACTTTTTACAGGATTCTGAGGATTCGGTCCTGGGTTTTGTCCTTTGTTTTACTTTGAGGGCTGTGTTTCCACCACAGTGTTCATGAACTTACACCATTGTGTAGAGGTGGAACATGGGAAAAATAGACTGACATATTGTTACAGGTGCAAAGAGATATACTAGCTACAACGTCCCAAAAATGACTCTTCTGTACCCAATGCCTGTAATTGACCACAGTAAGTATGGCCTGTCATACTGCTGTCCATTTTGATTACATATCTGTTTGCTTTCTCCTATATTAATAGAATTGCTTCGGTCCAAGACATTCAAGTTTACCCTATTCTGCAGCATGGAATTCACCCATCTTTCGCCATCCTCCCCATAGAGATAGTTGCCCTCAAAGCTCCTTCTCCAAATATGAGATGTATTGTTTCCGTACTTATTGAAATGTTTGTTGAGCAGGTCTGTGACATGTAACCCTGGTCCTGGAGAGCTTCAGTCAGTGCCTGCTATCTTTCTGCTTGGGCTCCAAACCACCTGACCACTGTCTCCTCATGAACCGATGCAGATAAAAAATAAAGGTCAGGTGGTTTAGATTAGAATAACTGTGTTTGCATTTCCTTAGGTTGAACAGAGGGTTAGAACTAAGAAGAGCTGGAGTTGTTCACACATTTCTGTCGAAGCCATTCGAAATATAATGGAACTTAGAATTTGCGAATGGATGGCCAGAGTTGTGGAGGGCACTGTAGCACATAAAGCATCCTGTGGACCCCTGCCTAAACATTGTGGGTGGAAGTAGTGAACATTTCTACTGAGAACTGTTAATCAAAGACTAGTTTAAGACAAAATAAACAGTGATCCTTGTGATGGGTGTCTTGTCTGAGTTCTTAACCTGAAAGTGACTGTTTATTTCACAGGTAGGCTAGATGTTCATGTGAAAGGCCACACTGAGAAACTATTCTGCAAGAGTATTGGCAACTGGTAAGTACTGAATTTAAGTAGGCACAGTAATGCACATTGATAAATTATTTTTCAGAGCACCATCTTGGGTTGAGCCTTAAATGTAATTGCAGTTTAAAAGCTGATAAATTGCACACAACATTTTAGATACAGGATGTCAATTTTTTTTGCCAGTTGTATATTGAAGTCGTTAACTGTATCTTAAGTAATTTCATTAGTTCTTGAGGGTTCACCTCACCAGCTGTGAGTTTGGTGTTGCCATTGTGTTTCCTAAATCAGTGCTCTGCCGATGTGGTACTGATGGTTTGTCGGGACTGATGTTTGACACTTCTAACATTTTAGCTAAACCAGCTATGGACAGAAGTTACTTAATTTAGCAGGTTAGGATAATTAATTTAGCAGATTAAGAGAATAAGGTTAAGGTTGGAAAGCTGTGTTCCATCTAGCCACAACTGTACAAAACATCAGTTTCATAACACCTGGACCTAGCCAAAGACTGCTACAGGTGCAAACGATAAGTAAATCTCTGGCAAAGTTTACATCAGATGCAAATGCTTAGCTAATGTGGAAAAACCCCTGTGACTCCCCAATGGGCGCGTTTGAGTGGTAAACCGAAAGTAGACAGAAGTCAACAAGTAAAATTGGGGGAGGTAAAGATGCACCAGTGGAGGCTGGTGGGAGGAGCTATTGTAATGTATGGAATGGAAAAATGGAAAGGTATCAAACATGAAACCATGTTTGACTCCGTTCCATTATGGCATTCCAGCCATTACAATGAGCCTTCTCTTATATGCACCAACAGCAAGTCAGACAACTTCTGCTTTTCTAGGAAACACGACAATGGCAGACATGGCATTCACCTTTGTTATTGCTGATGAAGTGGATGTTATCGAAATTCCACTTCTACTAGAAGCTGAACATGATCAACATGGTCCAAGGAATTAATATCCTGATAAGGACATTATATTCCAGCCCAAGCTCTTTCTAACATTCACAAGACTTGTTTTGTGTTTTTGTGATGTAGCTCAGTTGGTAGAGCATGGCGTTTGCAACGCCAGGGTTGTGGGTTCAATTCCCACGGGGGGCCAGTATGAAAAATAAAATTTATGCACTCACTAACTGTAAGTCACTCTGGATAAGAGCGTCTGCTAAATGACTAAAATGTAATGTAAATGATGGTTTTCTCAAAATATGGAATGAGAACATAGTTTTTTTTGCAGCATATGGGATATGCTGTTTGCCATTACTTCATGCCATTGTACCTTCCTCATTATTATTTGTGATTGTGCAACATGGAAATGTAACAGATGTGATTAAATGGAGTTCACAAAGATTCTTACTGTATGGTAATTGATTGCATGTCAGCATCACTACAGCCTGCAGTTTATTTCTTTAATTCTCAACCTTTGTTTATTTTGTCAGTAAGCAAAATAAACTGTATAGAAGAGGATTAGACTATACATGTACATCATTTCACATAAATTACTGGGTAAACTATATGCCAAGCAGTCAAATGCACTTGATATTGACCCCAGGACTGGTGTCTGGGGTACTTGCTCATTAAGGGTTGGTTTCCCTAACACAGATAACGCCTCTAAAATTGCAAGCATAGAAATCCCCTACAATAACCCATGTGTAGCCTACAATATGTATTCCATTTTACTCACACTTAATAAACAATCAACAAATATGACTTGTTGCGGTTAAAAATCTGTGCGTGATGACGTAGTGTACACAAAATAAAAATCTGAATTTCAATGTGTTTCCATCACATTTTCAACTTTACCGATAGTTTTGTCTCAAAAACGTTCGCTTTAAATGGCATATGTGTGTACTCTGGTCTTGGCACGTCCGCTCTAGCAAACAGCTGGCAGATACAGTGCGAGTAGGCTGTGCGGGTAGGCTAGTCTACATGATGGGATTATTATGGATAAGAGCGAGACTATTGTTATTTGTCAAATTGCGGTCAAGCATCGATCATCATGTCACCTGAATAAGACCCACGATATTTATTGGAAAGGAGCATCAAGCTCATCACCGTGCACTTTCACCACCCTGTGAAGTTCATCTTTAATTTATTTCATCTGATCTACAAATAATATTCCCTGCCAAATAATAGGCTTTGTGTCATTAAGATTAGCAGATCTACGCCTCCCCTGGTTTAGGCGACCCCCTCACCAAACGCACACATACAACCAGACATTGATTGATTGATTGGAGATGGCATGTGTCAATTAAAGAACATTTCTCAGAGATTCAAGAGTAGGCCTACATTTGATTTATATGGATTTGGTTTGACCTTTTATATGGAATCACTGCCATGTATGTTTTTTCCTTATTTCCAAGTTAACCATCAATTCATCTGTTCAACCTTCATCCAATTCATCTGCAATAATAAACTGGGCATCAGCCCTTAAAACTGTAACCTCCATCTCTGTGGTTTAATGGACACTCCAACGATAGACCCAACTCAAACCAGCAATAGTTAACAGCAATTTTCATCCAAACTCTGAATAGCATTTACAACTGCTGATATAAAAGTGTTTACAACTGCTGATAGGATTGTCTTCTCCATGTATGTAAAGGGTCTGGAAGTGGGCTCTGTAGTGGGCTGAGTACCTGTGTCTACCAAACCATGGGACATCTCCTGTAGAGAAATATGCATCATGACAGCCATAAAAACACAAACGGCAGGTCCTTTAGTTTACAATACGTAGGTACACTCACTTGTTGTTTCTGTTCTCTAAATTCATTTTCAAGGAGAATCCTGACACCTTTTGGCCACTAAAATAATGTAATATTAATAATAGCCCATTCATCTCTTAACAGTGTCTTTGTATTTGAACAATTTGTCCCCAAAATAAGTTGCAAATCAATACAAAAACATGGGGTAAACATAGCTGCTTTTACTGGGGTTAATCAACTCTTTTAAATCACAGATTTGTATTTACAGTATATAAGAGTAGGCTATGAATTCCTGTAAATGCGTGTTTACCCTGTTTCAGAAAGGCCATTGACACCAGGCAAAGCAAATGTCCAATTACTCAAAATACACTGTTCTGTTCTCTAACAAACCCATTGAACATTCTATGATATAAAATTATCTTTATCCTTTCCCTAATCTCAGTCACAATTAGCATTTATAATTTATGCCTTTTCTATTTTTGCAGTACCCATTATGATCTTTACTGAAGTATCTTGATGGAACAACAAAAATACCATTTGGAACTTATACCATTCGATTTTTTTGTCTGTTTGTCTCTGAGTTTGTTTAATCAAAATGATCTCAGAGGATTCATGTATGAGAATTTATTCAAAACATTTTAACCTAGCAGTCCTTTCAGCCTATATTAGTATTCACTCAAAGACAATTATTTCTTACCAGCTGTCTAGTTCTTGTTGTTGAGGTTTAGGCAGAGCCAGGACAACACCCAGAAGACTGAACAGTATAATTCCTCTCATCTTCACTTCAGTCTGTGATTGTGCTTTATTCAGAGAGACCACAGCAGAGATTGTTTAGTGGCTATCTCTACTGTCTCTGACCACAGCAGATATTGTTTAGTGGCTATCTCTACTGTCTCTTACCACAGCAGAGATTGTTTAGTGGCTGTCTCTGACCACAGCAGAGATTGTTTAGTGGCTATATCTACTGTCTCTTACCACTGCAGAGATTGTTTAGTGGCTATCTCTACTGTCTCTGACCACAGCAGAGATTGTTTAGTGGCTATCTCTACTGTCTCTGACCACAGCAGAGATTGTTTAGTGGCTGTC